CCCAAATAAATATTTTAATTTTAAAATTTCCAAAAAATTAAATTATTTCTAATTTCTATATTAAATAAAAACTTTTTAAATCAATATAAAATTAAATTCTAAACTTCAAAAAGCGTCCTATATATAAACCACAATAAATTAAATACTAATTTTTTTAAAAGATTTTAAAGGGTTTAGAATTATTTAAAAGTTTACATTTAATATAAAGAAATAGATATTTTAAAGATACTATATTTATCTATTTTTACAACTCCATATATTAATATGCGATTTTTTCTACATGTATATATCTCTAATAATATAAGAGTATATATATGATAATACTATTGTAATACCTATAATATATATATATATGGGATGATTGATTCATGTTAGAGAAATAATAATAATAGACTTACTCGCGGCCGACAAAGTTCCAAGCATCCCAACCCTCGGGGACGACAACGTCGGTGAGGTTGGTCCGAAAGAAGACGACTCGAGAGTAACCTCGCCAAGGTCTGCCCAAGAAAGCCATGCCCGTTCCAAAGACCAGACTGTCCTTGAACACGAATCCGTTCCCGTCGTTAGGGTTCGTTCTTCCTTGCGCCGTTATGTATCCCGTCAGCCCTGGCTCTAACTCCCCTCCCAGCACTTGAACCACACAATCCTACATTCACCACCATATACATATATATAGGTTTGCATGTATGTGTGTGTGCAATCATTTATAAGTAGAAATCCACTAATGGGTTGGTTTTCAAATTAATGAAGGGTTAAAAAAAACTAAGGGTTTTGTGAAAAGACCTGGTAAATGGATTGACCATTGCCAAAGATGAAATCCACGGCTCCTTGGATGGTGCAACGGTGGAAATAATGTCGGCCTTCACTGTCCCATAGCGTGTCCTGAAGACCGTCGAAGCCAACTGCGTAAAACGCCGACTTGTCGCCGCCGATCATCGCTGCAACCGCCGGAACCCTAGGGTTCTTGTTCTTCCCTTTATGCGGTCTGTTATACGTGTTCTTGATTTTTAAGACAAACCCATAAAAGAAAACGGTTAGATTGAATCGAAAGCGGTGTAAAGATATGTTTTTTGTGTGTGTGGATAAACTGTTTCGATGGAGATTTCTTACGGCGAAGGTCATGCTTTTGACGACGGTGTTGTCGGCGAGAGAAGAGAAAGTGGGGCTCTGAGCGAGCGAGAAGTGATCGTCCCATTCAACTCTCGTCAATCTTTTTCCGGCGCCGATGAGAACTATGAAGGGTTTCTCATATGGGATCTTGATTTTCTCTCTTTACGTACACGCACCATGATTTTCCCGGAAAGCAAACAACACAGAGAAATTTCAGAACAGCAAACACAAACCCACGAACTCAAACACAGGTTCCAATTGTTTTGTCGCTTTACCTGTAGATTCCTGCTTTGACGTCGATGAAGAACCAATGATTATTGTTCAGAGGGACAGAATCGATGGCTTTTTGTATCGTCGTGAAATTCCCATGTCCGGATGGATCCACAATAACCCGGTAATGATACACACCGTACCTTCTCTTGTTCGTCGAGTACTTAGCTTCAGATTCAACGAAGCAAGAACAAAGAACAACGATGACAGCAGCAGCGGCGGCGAAGATGCGAAACGTTGTCGTTTTCGAGGCTGTCGCCATTGATGCTGTCATTGTACAGAAGCTCCTGGAAGCAGACAATGAGGAATGTAAAAAAGAAGAAGAAGAAGTATATGGACAAACAAGAATGGAGAAAAAGAAAGCAATTGGTGACTCAACAATACAAGATTTAAATGAAGAGATTTGTGATTAAGTGCTTAATCACTTTTGATTTGGTGTTTAATGGTGTGATTAAAGGCGAATCTCTGAAACTGGAAACTCTGGCTTTCTTTCCTGATTTCATGTTTTGGGAAAATCTTCATTTTTGGGCAGAGATCGGAAGCCAAAAGAGGAAGTTGCGATTTTCATAAGTTATATATATGTGTGTGTGTGTGTGATTTATATTCGATTTAATTTAGTTTGTGTATATTATTAATTATGGTAACTGTAACGTTGTGGGGGCTGAAAATTAGTGGACACGACTTTGGGTTAATCGAGAGCAAACCGGTAATTTACTTTTGTATAGTTTGTAAAATACAATAATTATATGAATCGTAGGAATCTTTGAATTACATGCATAACATATGTATCATATTAGTATATATAAAAGATCTGAATGAAATGTGGAAATAGGAAACAATAATATGTTGGGAGAAAAATAATATTGGATGATAAAAAAAATGTCAATACATTAAAAAATAATAATGCTAATCTCTACGAGTGAATCTGCCAAATCCAGGATCCACAAATGCTCTGTATCTCGCTTTCTATATTTGTTATATTTTTTTTCCTTTAATTTATTTAATTACACGAATATGATTTGGAATTTAAAACAATACTATATATTATGTATATGATTCCCATGATTTTGATTTTTAAAACAAGGAGTTAATTAAATTCTCAAAATTATACATTACTAAATTTTCAAAATGATCAAACCTATCTTTCCTTTTTAGTATATATATAGAGACAAAAATATTCTTCATTTGTACATACAAATCCTGAATATCAAAATGGAATCTTAACATAAAGGTAAAAAATCTTTTTACGATAATTCTTTTTGTGAAATTTAATATTTTTTAATGAATGGATGGTTTTTTAGAACTATATTGGAAAAATATAATATTTTTGGATACTTTTCCTTTTTTGTTCCATATTATGATTTTGCTTTTTCTAATTTATTAAACTTAAGTTTAAACATACATGACATGTTATGCCATGTAAATAATTCAAATTGCAAATTCAAGCAGAAAGTTTCTCATTGACCCAAGAAAGAAAAACAAGATTTTCCCATAAAAAACGGAGATTATTTTTAAAAAAAAAATCACATTTTGTATGTTTTTTCTTTGATCTCTAATTGATGATTTGTGTTCGTCAAGGATTTTCTATGCTTAATCTCGTCAAAGGAAATGGTGATTTACGGTGAAAAAATCATAATTCGTATTTTTTTTTCTTCGTTAATCCCTAATTGATTATTTTTGTTCACCAAGGATTTGCTATGTCTAATAAGAAACAAATATATATGTGCATATATCTATATATAAAAAATTATAATATGCTATTTTTTAAAGATAAATTATCAGAAGTATCATTAATTTTTTAAAACGACTTAATCTAGTAATATACGTTAATGGGCAAAAATATTCTTGAGTTTAAACCCTAAGACAACCTAGAAAAAGGTAAAATTATAATAATTTCTCTAGCAAATTATTAGTCATTATTTTTAAAAGAGTGGTACGTAATTTGGATATTTCTAAAAGAATTATCAAATTTTTGTCGAATATATATATCTATCTATGAATAAAAGGGGCCGATGTTTAGGCCCGTCTATTTTTTCCAATGGGCCAAAAGCCTAGACACTTTGCAAGGAGCAACAAAATGATATCCTCCAAAATTTTGAACCAATTAATATTCATATATTTTTAATATATGTTCGAAAAATTACATTTTGGCATAGAAAAAAAATCCTCACGTTGTAGAGAAAAGATTCACATATTTTGATATTTCGTAAGCCCATGAACTTTCTCGAAATTAAAAATGACAATTTTCAGAATTTTTACGAAAAAATGAAAATCACTTAATTCATTTTATGTATGATCATATTATAATATCTCAAAGTTTACATTTATAGAAATGAAAAAAATTTACATATCATATATTTTAATATCTGAATTTCGGGAGAATGGTAATATTGGCGTTTTATATATTTTAATAGATTATAAAATTTAAAAACAAAACCAAAGTAATGCTGTTTTCTCATTTTATAGAATCCAAATATTAATAATATATATATTTGTCTGGTCTTAAAATAAGACAGGAAAATGGAAATAAGAAACTAAAGTTAAATTATAAAGGACATGGGATCAAAGTTTCGAAACTTAGGGATAAGGTATATATTGGACAGAATATTACAAATTAAAATGATTACATGGCAGTGTTTGCATGAATGAAACTGAATATTTGCTGGATAGAGGTTGCTATTTCTTCTGCTGTGAACCTTGTCTCGCTTGTGATCTGCATCATTTCCGACCAAACATTTTACTTTTTTTTTTAACTCACATTACAAATGACCCAACAAAAACAAAAGAATGTTCGGTGTATAAATATATATATATATATATATATATATATATATGTGTGTATGTAGTATATGATCATATTGAATGGAAAGAGTTTTTAGAGTTTTTGAATTTCAAAAAGTGAAAAAATCGACAATCAAGTTTCTTTTAATTTGGTTTTCGTCAAAACCCGAAAATCTACTTTATGAAAAAATCAACTAAAAACCAAAAACCACATTTTTTTATAGATTTATACACTTATGAAATCTAAAAGCCAAAGATAAAAAATTAAAAACTAAATACCAAAACTAAAACCAAAAACCCAAAATAAAAACCAATATCATTCAAAATCTATATTAAAAAAATGTTCAAACTATATATATATATAGTATATGTGTATCATTTTGTGTGTATTCAGATACAGTGATTATATATGTTCCTCTAGGGTGACACCAAGATCAAGTTTTTTTTATAAATATACACGTGTATAGATCTCTTGCTGCATACATACATACATACATACATACATACATACATACATACATACATACATACATACATACATACATACATACATACATACATACATACATACATACACACATGATTAGAATACTTGCCTTGACGTTGAAGGAATAGAGGACGGTTTGTTCGATGGTGGTGATGTTGGTGTGAAGAATGCAGAGATGAAGATCCTCCAAAGCAGCAATGGTCTTGATCAGTTGGCCAGGCCTTCTTCTGGACAGTATCTTTATCATCGCATCAAACCCTAGCAGCTTCACCTCCACGTCAGCCAAACACGACTTGTTCTCCGCCGTCTCCTCCCTCAGCCCTCCGCCGCTTTCCAGCTCGCTCACGTTTCCGGCGAAGATCATCGCCGGCTGTTGCTGTGCCGCCGCCGCCGCCACCGTGGCCGGAGAAGAAGACGAGGTCATTTCACCTATTTGCCTCTGAGAGGCTTCTCCAAGGATTCTCCTTCGCTTCTGCGACTCCAGACATTGAAGGAGTTGCTCTAACTCCCTCACGAACTCTATCGCTCCTCCTATGATCGACGCTTGATCCCCCTACACATATATGCATGTGTTTATTGCTATATATATGCGCGAAAACAGACAGATACATACACATGCACGAGTATATATGTAATATATAATCAAAATTATATACCCTTTGGACGTAGGATCCGGGCATGAGGGACCGGAGGACACGAAGGTGTTCGTTCATCTGCTTCCTGCGGTTCCTCTCAACAGCGATGTGAGTCATTCTTTGGCTCTCCACTTCTTCGCTGGTCTTGATCGTCCTCGGCCTCTTCCTCTTGCTCTTCACCTCGTTGGCCGAAGCATTCTTGTTGTCTGTATCTTCTCCAAGGAACCGAAGTTGCACTGAGTTGTTGTTGTTGTTGTTGCTGTCTGAAACCCTAGCTTCTTGATCTTCCTTGTCATACCCATCCTCTCCTTGAGCCATGAGAGGCTGGCCTTGATGATGATGATGGTGATCCTCGGTTTTGTCGTTCAAAACCGGGAATTTGAGGAAATAAACCGGGTCCATCCCGGTTTGTTGATGATCATCTTGGATTCTCGAGTGGTTCAATGCCAGTTTGGGACCAAAATCCGCAAACTGCATCACCTCGGCGAAGCTTAGTTTATCGAAAGTGGGAGAAGAACCAACTCCGGGAGACAATTGGTGTTGCGTCTGTGGCTGCTGGTGTTGATGTGAATTATTGAGCATGTAATCTATCATGCCGACGTTGTTTTCGTCGTTACAACCCGAGGATTCACCTAAATAATTCGATGCCTGAAAGGAAAACCATAAATATGACATTCACATATAACAATCAAAGACGATGAAACATGAAGAGATATATATATATATATATATATATATATAGATATAGATAGATAGATACATTTTTATACACGTACATGAAAGAAAGTGCCAGTGAATGAGGTGAAATGGTTGACAACATACGATATATGGGAAAACCTACGTACCGGATAGTCTTTGTCCATCGCCTATATGCGCGTTTGTGGATGTAAATGGAGCGATAAATATGACTTTAATCGATTAAAAAAACCCTAAAAGGGTTAGTTTCTTTGAGAGATGACAAAACCCTAATCAGATTCTCCGATTGGCTTCTTCATCTGGCAGCAACGACCAAAAGTTTCATAGTTAGGGCTTTAATAATCTGCATGGGAAACATACAGAAATATCCATATAAATAAATACAAAAATCAAAATTTGTTTGGTTACCTACGAGAAAAAAGAATCAAACTCCTTGGATATTGAGGTTTATAATTATTATAACGCGGTTATGGCGAGAGATGCAGACAATAAAAGGTTGGAATACAAAGGAAGAGAAATTTGAAATTGGGATAGACATGATCAAGATAAGGTACCAGATGTCTGATATATATACAACATTTGGTGTATACATATGCTTATATATACAGAAACATGTAGAGAGAGAGAGAGAGAGAGAAAGACACGCACATATATGTGTATGTGTATGTAAATGCTACATGGGGAGGGTTTCAAATTTTACATTACATGCTTCGGAGATACACCGAGTAAATAATATTAAATGATTAAACAACATGTAACCCCACAATATAGAAGGAATCGATTCTATTAAAAGTACATGCAAATCGGTAAATATATTTTATTAAAAAAAATTGTTGGTATATCATATACTTAATTAGTGGATAATCTTTACTATCTCTAAACCAACTTTTGCACAGGACATGACATTAATTATTAAATTTAACAAATAATTTGCTCTTTCGTTTACTTTTGGAGTATGTCTTCTCTTTTTCTTCATTAAAGAAATCAATTATATACTAAGTATATTTACAAAAAAAAAACTATATACTGAGTATATACATGATCTTGAATTTATTTATTTTTTCATTTTTTTCTCTACTAAGGAGGAGCCACCAAGGAGTAACGTGAACCACATGTGTACCACCTCTCTCTCTCTCTCTCTCTCTCTCTCTCTCTCTCTCTCTCTCTCTCGTCGACAGTTTAATTAAATGGGTTTGAGTTCACAAGCCGAACCGCTCGTCTTCTGCTTTTTCGTGAACTTCATCAAATCTCTATACGCTTCCCTTCTCATCCTTTGATCTTTTGAAAAAAAACACACGCACGTCATCCATCCCTTATTGTTTTACGTGTCTCTGCGTATACATTTATTTATACAAGACCAGGGAGCAGATACAATTTTTTAACATTATTTATAAACTAAAATGGTTAAATTTCTAATTCACACAAAGGTGGGTTTTTGGAATAAATAAAAGTTCCATATGGTTCAAAACGATAATTTATAAGCCACCGTTATTTTTTAACAACAATGAATATATATAGATTGAAAAGAAGTCTAATTGTAGTCCAAATCCCATCGGGCAACCAACGTTAATTAAATTGACATAAATAATTCGTTAATTTGCATTTACGGAGTAAAAGTCCTTGGACTTATTTTCAAACTTACATGTTTTCACATAATTAATGCTAAAAATGTATATATACATTTTAAAAATAAAAAGAAGAAGAAACATTATAAAGTCGAGATTCGTTTTTGATCATGTCACGGTAATCTTACCATACGAGCTCCAAACATGCATGCATTTTATTTTCTTTGGAATTTTCAAATACAAACTCCTTTAATTTTATTGCATGTTCACGTGTTAACTACACCTTTTTTTTTTGGTAAAAGGAAATACATACATATTGTTTAGGTTAAATTAATACGAAAAGATACTTTGAGAAAAAGAATAAAAATAGACCTATCTTTTTTTATTCTCTTAAAAAAGATAACTATATATAAACATATTTTGAAAGTTTCGGCAGTAACCATTTTAAAATTTTCAGAAATCACATACCGTATTTTAATTATAGTAATTCAATGAAGGGTTGTAGTTTTTCAGGTTTCTAAAACTTTCTAAAATATCATAATATTCACTTTAATACGAATTAAAAAAATTTAATAAAAAAATCTGGTCTTGATGATAAATTCTGTATGACATGTACTTATTTATTTATTTGTTTGTATATTTATATATGTTCAATATGGAATATATGGGTTTAAAAAATTCTATTTCAGATGCAAGGATTTCAGAGACAGAGTAATATTAAAATTATTTAGAAAATAAATGGCTAAATCAGAAGGAAAGAAAAAAAAAATCCGATAGTATGATAGGTTCATTGCCACATGATGAAAAGATGTGTGGCCCTAGTGCGTGGTATCTACAATTTTTTTTTCTATTTCACTCACATTAGTGATAAAATTTTTAGAAACATTTATAATATATATATATATATCTGATCTGTTTTTTTCATTTTTTATGCCCACACATCTAAAGATATAGCCACTGGTTATATATATATATATATATATATATTAAAATTTCAGTTTCTAAATTTGTTAATGGATGGACATGTTTAATACAGTTTGAGGTTGAATAATACTGATTGATATGGAATATGAAAAAATTCCAAATAAATTACAAAATCAATCATATTGTAGATTTCTAAGAATATAATGTGTTTTTTAATATGATAATTTTGGGGGAAAAAATAGGTATTGATATATAAGAGAAAAATTCATCTCTACTATATCTCAACAGTATACTTTAATTTATTATTAATTTAATTTTTTTATATTTATAACAATTAATTATCATACTAAATTTTAATTGTAGATATATTATTATTAGGTGTATTTTAAAAACGTCAGAATTTTGCATCTACCATTGTGTTTGCAAATTTTGTATTAAGTATATTTCTATATATCTCCATCTTATATGTGTGTGGTTGTTTTTATTGGAAATACATACGAAAAACACACAAAAAAAAAACATTAGAATGTAATTATATATCATTCTACATAGTAAATATCCTCTCTCTTCCTATAGTTTTCTTCCCTATTTGAATTTTCACACAAATTTTTGTATCATTTATTTATTTTTTGTTATTGTCTTTATATCCATTCCAAATAAATTTCATTGCATGAAACTCTAATAATCACCAAAACCCCTGGTATAGGTTTCTTAATATATCATCTAAACTTTCACAACTTCAAGTGTGTTAGACCTAAGTTTTTCAATATCGTCCGCCATGCATTAATATCATTGAACTTTTTTGAAAACCAAAGTTTTCTTTTCAAGCATTTTATCATGAAATAAAAATAATTGCAATTGTTTACTTTCTCGCTATCATTGTTTTGATGCACGCAATTATTTGGAGAAACATTTAGAATCTTTTTTCTTACAAAGCTTTAAAAGTCTCACACTCTTTATAATTATGTTTTATACAAAATAGAAAAAAGTTAAATCTCGGAAATAAGATTTCTTTTGTACATGATTGTCCTCTTTTGTCCGCTTTTGCAAACTTTACATTAGAAATTTGGATGTAAATAAAAAATATTATAAAGTGAGACCAATGAGTTGTTCTTATCGTGAATAGAGAAATCAAATCCCTATTTATACTCGCAATATTTTTCTTCCCGATAAACTATGGTTCTATATATATATACACATATTCTAGGTGAGTCCAAAATTTCATGAGAATTCAAGAAGCATTTTGATGTTATTGATATCCAGGTATACTATATTTTAATATATGATATTCTTTTCAAATTGTTCGAATTGTAAATTTGAAAATACATATAATATTTTGGTATGTATATCTCGTCTGATTATATTATTATGAATTCAATATATCCTTTTAGTGTCGAGACTGATTTTTTGGAATATATCACATATGTTTAAGTGATTAAGAGAGTTTTGATGAGCACAATTTTAGAAGTGGTGTAACTCTGCATTCATCATGTTTGGATGAACACATTTCTATTGCGATTTACAATCTATATACATATTTTAATTTTTAAAATAGTTACATTTTTCCTAACAATATTTGGGTTCTTTTTGTAATTGCAAGATGAAATGTCATATTACATCTAAAATTATTGAATAATTAGATAATTTTGGCAAATAGTTATATATATATATATATATATATATATTTATATATGTGTGTAATGTTGTAAAAAAATGTTGTAAATACGTCTTTCTAGTACTGCCACGTTTTGATATGGTGTATCAATCAATCGAATCCAAAGCAAAATCGTTTTAGGTTTATAAAAAAAGGGCAATCTAATATTTAAAATAAATTATAGAAATTTCTGCCCAGTTTGCAAATGTTTTACATACGATTTTTAATGTGTAGATAGATTTTTTTATAAAAAATTAAATATAAATGCAATCATTATATCTGTAACATAATTTTTTTTGTTAGATTCAATAATTTTTAATAGATGTATCGTTAATTTCATAAATTGTTTTAGAATATGATGTTTTAGGAAATTCTAAAAGAATAAAAGGAATTGGCAAGACGACCATTCGATTTTCTTTTCGGAAATTGCATGAAATCACACATAGTAGAGACACTATATACATAAAATACATAGTTATCTAATCCGATTTTTAGAAAATTTTGTATTGCAAATGAGATAGTGGTGTATGTTATTGGAGAATAACATATAGCTATCACTATAGACACGAGGAGATCCATATATATACATATGCATATACATAACACACACACACATATATATATATATACATATACATGTTTGAATTATTCTAATATAAAACCATGATAAATAAATGAAGTAGATATTTCTAAACCAAAATGCCAAATTTTAACATTAGGGTTATTCTAATATATATATATATATTTCTAGGTGATGACATTAGGGTTATAACTTGTTACGTTTTAAGTATGTATTTTTTTTTTGGATGACGACATTATGAACTTTCTACATGCTTACAGTTGATTTGTTAATTTTTATGGTTCAATTTAATAATCCTTAATGGCAAACTTATCGCAGTGTAGGCCTTCAACAAGTTCGATGGAGGCCAAGGCCATGCATCTGTGAAATTGTGTATCATATTGTAAGCACAAAACATATAGATCCGAATTGCTAATTATCGAAAGTTTTATGCCTAGTTTATAATTTGTATAATCAATTGGGGCAAAAATAGAAAAGAGAGAAGAATTCGCGAAACGGCGTCGTTCTCGTCTTCACGGCGCCGTCCGCCATTTCGACCCAGAAACCTGTGTTCCTGTCCTCCATTGCTCGACATCACAGATCTCTCTCTCTCTCTCGTTCTGAAGATGCGAGCTTTCTACATATTCGTCGTGTCTCTTCTTCTTGCCCCGATATCTAGGGTTTGTTTCGTTGATCTAAACTTTGTTTTCGGTTATCCCCCCCCACCCGAAATTTCGTGCACGAATGTATGCCTTGTGGATCTGATGAATGTATTTGGTCAATTTGTCGGTTTTATGACAGGGTGAAGCCGGTGGTTCTGTTTTCTTCATCGATGGCCAGAAGAATCAATATATACGTGAGCGATCATCTGTTGATGTCCACGAGCACGAGGTAAAAAAATACGGGGTTTTCCGTCGAATTTAGTCGCAGAACGATATGGAAGCTCTCGGGATGGATATTTTCTTGCAATATCTGGTGTATGATTCCCACTTTTGTTTTTGAGAATTGGTTTCTCCCGTTCAAGTGCTGATTAGTTCAATTATGTAGTTTGGGACACGATTTTACATGGACAATAACAAAAAGATCGAATTTTGTAGGCTATGTGAATAATCGGGAACCCATCAAGCTAGCTAAGGTTTAGTGCTCGAGTTTTTGTTTTTCTAATATCGGATCCACCATTGAAAAACCAATGAACTTATTTGATCTCATGTTGTTGGTTGGTATAGAGTTATCCATAAGCTGTCTGAGAATGAGATATAGTCTAAGATTGGTTTCAGAGTTTTGTAAGGTTAATGCGATGTGGTCTTAGAGCATGGTGTAATGTGAATTTATGTTGCAAACCAACTTGGATGGGAAGCTTTTCGATCAGGTTGTTTGATAGTTATAAATCTTATGATATTTGCATGCATTGCTTCCCAGATCATGAGTTGATATCTTTTCACTTTTAACTCTTCACACACCAGTTTAACATTACATTTTCCCTTTGTGTGTGGCATTTCAGTTTATTCTGTGTATGTAAGATATATGTTTGACTTCAAAAATAGGTCAGTGAATTTTTTAACGGGACGAGAGGATGCCTTCTTTCCAGAATTTTCAACAGTTTTCATGTTTTAATTGGTATCTACTAATTGAGAAACCATTATTGGTTTCTCGGGTTATTGGCCATGTTCGGTGGTTTGTAATGGAGAGTACCGAGTACTCAGCTTTGCCCTTTTCTACCACTTTGTTTCTACTTCCTTTGCCTGTTGTTTCTACAATGCAATCACTTGTAGTTCTTTGTTTTACTTTTACCACATCTGCTCTTGCTTTGAAAATTGAAAATACCACAGACACCTCCCATGTCCTCTACCGTAGTATCCGCAGCTGTGACAGTCTTGCTCGGTTTTGCACCTCTGGCAACTCTGACAGCTGATGGCTCCTCCAAGGTTCTTTCAAGTGTTTTGAGAGAATTTTGTCTTAGCTTCCCTTTTCTCGTCATGCAAAAATCGCTGACTTTTATCATTTGGCCATGCACTCTATTACAGTTGAACAGTATTCTGAAACCTAATCCATTTGAGATTCCTCGCACTGTATTCATGCTAGAAGTTGCTGGAGCTGATGGTTAGTGCACGATGTCATATTAATTTATATGTTTTCTTTTATACTGCAACTAAAGTTTTCTTTTCTGCTATTTCCTTTTTCCTTCCAACCAGTAAATATTTTAGCAGCTTATTCTTTTTCATGCAGATGCGCTCGTCAGGGCATATTCTAGTCGGTCTTTGTTGGGCAATGCTTTTAAGAGCAATATTGTTTCTGATTCCTTCAAGGCTGACATCGAACTTCCAGGTGTCCAGATCTCTTGAACAGTAGAATTGTCATAAAAACATGATTTTATTCACTTCTCTCTCTGACTCAAGTTTTGCTCTCAATTTTTTGTTCACTGAATTATCCTTTCATTTTGAGAATTCTGCAGATGAAAGTGAAGTGGCTGTGGTGTCTTTGGATGAGCCCTTTTCTGGCATGACTGACAAAGACATCAGTGACCTTGTTAGTTAACAATCCTTATCAATCTAACTTCAGAAACTAAGATTCATCTTGCTCGCTATTGAGCAACTACTAATTACTTGGGGCGGTTCTGGAATCTATGTAGGTATCTTGGATAGGTGGATCATATGTTGCTGACTCCACGAGACCATTGGCTGGGGTTGTGAGTATCCCACTGAGTAATGGCGATTCTGTGGAGTTCCATCTGGCAAAGGTGATATCTTGATTCCATTCAATTGTATAACTTCAATTTTGTCGTAGCTTTGTGCCTTTGGTTCTAAAGATGGCTTATGGCATTTTCCTCCTTGGGCAGAATGGGGAAAGAAGATTTGCGATGAACCTTTTGGTTTTGTCCCAGAATATTCGACAGGCAATTAGCCTCCATGAGGATTTGTTAGCTGGTATTGAGACACCAGCTGAACTTATGGTTGGCCGTTTAAGCGGCATTAACGTAAGGATATTTATTTTTAATTTATTCTGCTTGTTTCCTTTGTGTTTTGCCTCTCTTATCCCTCACTTCTGAATTATAATGTGCAAGTCCAATGCTTGAAAAACGAAACGTCTTCTCCTTTAACTGCCATGTAATCGTGTTACCTTTGTTCTGCTAGTCGTGTGTTGATTATGTGTTCTTTTTGGCCATTTCTCTCATATCTGTTTATAAGGTACTTATCTAATCTAGGGTAGTAACGGAAAAGTTTGGAAGGTAAATTATGACGACATTCCGGGTCACTGGAAACTTTTGAGGTTGAATCAAGTCTGATACTTCCGTGTAGTGTATATTTCTCCTCTTTGGTCTCTAAAGGATTTCCAGAGCGGTGGCCATGTCTTGCAGAATTCATCTCTTGATGACTATTGTTTTAAAATATTTGTGTGATAAAGCATGGTTAAACGATCTTAGTTTGCAGGCTTTATTTCTATTGATTTGCATCGAGAAAGTCTGATCTTGCCCGGTTATCTTCAGTAGTTTTCTTTTTCTGATCTGGAGATGGGGTTCAAATAGTTCTTGCTATTTCGTTTATCTTCTTTATCGCTGTCAAAATCCTCTCGAGGAGGTGTTTTTATACCATATCTTCCTTTTGAAAACTATAGGATTTGAGAGAAGAGTCTGGAGAAGGTAAGGCAAAACAAGGGATGGAGATCTTACTCGCTACACTGTCAAGAATCTTCAACTTGTTGCAAAAATCCCATCAAGGTGAATTGGCTTTACCTTTTTTGTTGTTGTTGTAAAAATTTGTTCTTCAAAGGCGAGTCTTGGAATGCAAATAAATATTGATATTAGCAGTTTTCTCTTCCTTGAAGCTGAGATAGTATAGACTTTTGCCAGGTAAAATTGTTGGGTTGGTCGTGTTTGATGGGAGAACACATGAAGAATCGGAGAAGCTGCTAAATGTGGTGCATAGTTACCGTGAATCCCCACGATGGTTGGCTGAGGAAAATGGAGCTTCAAATTCGACAACCCGTCACGCAGAAATCCTTATCGTTAGAAGAACACTCGCTTGGTTGACTGGAATTATCCTTCTCGTCGCGACTCTCCTAGGGGTAAAGATCACACATATTCACACTTATGCTATACATCCATGCCTGTCTCCATCCGATTTTCTTCAATAACAGAACTGTAGATTTGGAAATTACGACGAACGACGGTTCATAAACTTGACCTCCTTCTTCTTCTTCTTCTTCTTCTTGCTGTTGCAGATATATTTCATGGTGAACATGCCTCTGACAAGAGACACCCTTCTGTATGCAAACGTAAAGCTCGACTAAAAACGACGAACGACCTTTGAAAACCTTGACGGATCTCTCTCGGGGCCGAGGTTTACGAGTGGACTCTCGGAGTACTGTCGATGAATGGTGCTTGTGTTTTTTTTGGTGTATGAAATGAAGGTTGTTCCTCATTTCAGTGGTAACAGAGAAGGATGAGTTTTGTCAACAAAACTTTGAGCTCTCTCTTGTATTTGTATTCTTTCTCCGTAACATAAAAAATTCGATCCGAAAATCGGATATTTTTGGATCCATACGATATGGATTATGTTCTTCATTTTTGCATGGAATTAGAATGCAAAAGAGACAGCTATTGTCTTTGTAATTGGTTTTTGGTTTGCATATCCAAATGGATAAAACATACCCTTTTTTTCATTAGGACAGGAAATCCAAAAACAAAACTCGTTTTCCATCTGATTTTGGTCGGAAAGTTTCATATTAAAATAATTATATGATCAATAAAATATCGCGGCAATTTTAGACCGTGGGTGCAATGGTTGTAACTCGTGGTCGTCGTACAAAATATGGATGTAATTACAAACGTGAAGCGGAAGGATTTGAACCGCAATAAAAAGAAATGGACTGACCAACCAGCCATACATGCATACATATATACACACATACATGTCCCATGCACGACGTTACGCCACGTGCCCCATTCGGTGGCCGTTCCCTTCGACGACAATCAATCACCTCTCTCTACCCCCACTAAAACCACCGCTTCTTCGACGTTTTGCTTCAACCAGCTACACCTCTCTCTCTCTCTCCGATTGAGCTTGTTGTGAGAGAAGAGGTGTGCAGCCCATGGACGCAGCTGCGCCGCGGCTCGTCTACTGTGGGGCCGAGCCTCTCCGTTCTACGCTCTCCACGAACCGGGGCGGTTCTGGAATCTATGTAGGCTACGCTCTCCACGAACCGGTCTTCCTCCGTCGCCGGAATTCCTCGCCGTAGACTCGCCGTGAGGGTTCTAGCCATCGCCACCGATCCGAAACCTAGCCGTACGGCACCGTCCAAGCCCAATGGGTCTTCTCTGTCGTCTTCTGGTCCAGTCGGAGTCAACGGTGGTTCTACTGTAATCCCTCCGAATCCGTTGATTTTTGCTCTGGGTTTGTTTCAATTTCATTCCTTTTTTTGTGGGGGAAGCGATTTCGTAGCTCTGAGTTTGGTTTTTGCGATGTCGCAGAGGATTAACGATGTATCAAAAGGGATTCAGAGAGTAAGGGCTCAAATGGAAGAAGATGAACAGTTGGGTGTATTGATGAGAGGACTTCGTGGCCAAAATCTGAAGGATTCGGTCTTTGCAGACGATAATATTCAGCTAAGACTTGTCGAGGTATAACCGAAGACTCCCCAAGCAACCTTTCTTCATTGTCTTGTTGTGTTCTTCTTGTGTCTTATGCGACATGTTCTGATCTGTCCACCCTCTGCTTCTATGGCGGATTCTGCAGACTGATGAAAGCAGTGAGTTTCTACCATTGGTGTATGATCCAGCGAGCATATCTGCGTATTGGGGTAAACGACCGCGAGCTGTAGCTACGCGTATTGTCCAATTGCTTTCAGTTGCGGGGGGGGGGGGGAAACAACAAAGTCAAAGAGGTAATATTCTGCTTTCGGGTACTTTTTTACTGGAGTAGACGCTGCAGTAGCAGAGATAGTTCAGGATTTAAGATTTGGGTGATCTTTGTATAGTCCTTAAGTTAAGAATAGAGGGAATGCATATCCTTGCTTTCGTTTTCTTCTTCCTCCCAAGCTTGTAAGTCTTAAAGGTGAAAACTTTCGAACTTTGTTGTGATCAAAATAGTTTCTTTTAGCTCCCTCTGCCATGTTTTCAAAGATGCTGTATTGTTCTTGAGCTGGGAAAAAAAATCTGGCAAGTGGTTACCTGCTAGTCTTTTCTGGTTGGATTGTTGAAAATTGTATTTGCTCATGGCGTTCTCATGCAAAACTTTGCTTCTGTGGGTGATGAATGTAGCAAAGCTGTTCAAACTCCTTTTTATTTTTTCTGTTTCTGTTTTAGAATGAGGTTGTGAGGGCAATTGAATTGAGGGAAATTGTAACCTCTTTGGGTCCGGCCTACATTAAACTCGGGCAAGCTTTGAGTATTCGACCAGATATACTGTCACCCTCTGCCATGACAGAGTTACAAAAGCTTTGTGATAAGGTACACTCTATCTACCTTTTGTTGTTTGTTTCATTCAGGGTCATAACACCATTTATATGGTTAAGATATGTGTGCCTTCTTCTTATTCAGTCTGATTTCTGTGAAGGTCCCTTCTTTCCCGGATGATGTAGCAATGGATCTTATCGAGGAGGAGCTTGGGCAGCCATGGCAGAACATCTATTCCGAGCTCTCTCCTTCCCCAATTGCTGCTGGTAAATACGAACTATCCCATTTGTATGGCCATCTTGTTATTTCAACTTGTTGTAGCTAGGATCTACTGTAAATGGACGTGATGCCATCTTCCTTATTATTGATTTGATGTTTCAGCATCTCTTGGGCAAGTTTACAAGGGCCGGTTGAAGGAAAATGGAGACCGAGTGTCTGTGAAAGTACAGAGGCCTTTCGTTCTCGAGACTGTGACTGTTGACTTATTCATCATAAGGAACTTAGGCCTATTTCTCCGGAAGTATGGACCATAACTTCTCATTTGAAAATTTTGTATGTGTGTCTATGTATGCCAGAAATGCCCAGCATACAGATCAGTCTTAAAATATAAAAATATCGAAACATAAAATGTGTTTCAGGTTGTTGTGCCTAAAACCTATGAGAAGTATACTTCGAGGAAAGTTCTTACGACACAATGGATTGATGGGGAAAAACTATCGCAAAGTACCGAGAGTGACGTCGGTGAACTTGTGAAAGTCGGCGTCATTTGTTACCTAAAGCAGGTATTTTTGCTCAACCGAACTCTTCCTGCATATTACTCTAGAGTTGCATGACGAATATGGCCCAGTTTACAATAAGCTTTTTCCTGCAGAAATCTATATGGTAAATACAATATGGCTGATAAAAGATTTGAGTAATCTAGTTACTATAATGAATTTGATTTTGGTCATTTCTGTTTCCTCTTTTCATCTTCATATCGGATTAGCAAATTGCCACGATGATCTTCAGGCTATAATCCTTGTAAACGTTTCGTGTTTCAGTTGCTTGATACTGGATTTTTCCATGCTGACCCTCATCCCGGAAATCTGATCCGGACTCCTGATGGAAAGCTTGCCATTCTTGACTTTGGTAACGATTCTAACTTCGAGTATTAACGTTTTTTCTCCATAAAGAAGAGCTTGGATACGTTCTTTGCTTTTCGTTCCATAACTGACGGTGATCTATCGATGACAGGTCTCGTCACCAAATTGACCGACGATCAGAAGTATGGAATGATCGAAGCTATTGCTCACCTGATTCATCAAGATTACGATGCCATAGTGAAGGATTTCGTTAAGCTTGGATTCATCCCTGAAGGGGTCAATCTAGCTCCGATATTACCTGTCTTGGCCAAGGTTTTCGACCAGGCGCTCGAAGGCGGTGGAGCGAAAAATATCAACTTTCAGGAATTGGCGGCAGATTTAGCTCAGATAACTTTCGACTATCCTTTCAGAATTCCGCCTTATTTCGCTCTTATAATCAGAGCAATCGGCGTTTTTTAAGGGATAGCTCTTGTCGGGAATTCTGAATTCGCAATCGTGGATGAGGCCTATCCTTATATCGCACAGGTAATATCTACAAAAACAACTTCTTTCATATTCGAGGAAGTGAACCATTGATCTAGCGGATTGTCTGTGTTGATTCAGCGGCTACTCACAGATGAATCACCTCGGCTGAGGGAGGCTTTACGCTACATGATCTACGGGAAATCAGGTGTTTTCGATGCTGAAAGATTCATTGACGTGATGCAAGCCTTCGAGAGTTTCATAATGGCTGCTAAAAGCGGAGGAGGGGAAGATCTGAATGGAGACATGGCCGAGCTTGCTGTTCTGCAAAGTCAGACATCCAGTGTAGTTCCTGTGTTTTCGGGCAGTGCATCTCAACCAGTTCAGACAAGAGCCGCCTTGTCTTTTCTGCTATCTGATAAAGGGAACTTCTTCCGCGAGTTTCTATTAGACGAGGTACTACTGATCGAACCTAACTACCTTTAGAATCAAGGAACTGATACTGACAACAAATGCAGAGCCAATGAGAGATTGAACAAGAGAGTCACATTGATAGTAATCTATACACGCACCAAGATTGACGCTTTACCTATATAAGCAACTTGCCTGTGCATACATGTTCTTGAACTTGCATGTAGGGGCAAATACCCGAAAATTGGGTATCCGCAAGTATCTGGCATTTAACGTGTAAGATAGTTTTTTATTATCCGTCCAATTAAAAACCGGTGATAGGTACCATGGATATCCGATTTTCGAGTACTCGACTTTTCACGGGTACGGGGCGAGTTTCTTTATTACCTGTCCAACGGGTACGGTTACGATTAACTGAAAGCTGGTGACAGATATCCACGGATATCTGTGTACATTTGTCAAGGAATTATACATCCCTGTTAATTTTCAGTATAACCTGTTACCTTCTGGGTAACGGATTAATACACTTCTCTATAACTTGTATTATGCATTTTTTTGTTATAAATAGATAATTTTCGGGGTTGGGTATTTGTAATATCCGAAAATGTTTTCAGATACATGTAGTTCGGATACCTGATTACTCGGACGAGTATGGGTATCAAGGATCCTGGTACACTGAATTTTTCGAGGCCACGACAGAACGTGTTCAGAACAATGCCCTGCTATGATTTTATGTTGTGATAATGCATCTTTGGTTCTGATTATTTGTTCCGATTACCCGAAACAGATAGTCAAAGGTATTGATGCAGTCACGAGGGAACAACTGGTGCAAGTTATGGCGTCCTCGGCGTAAGAAACCCGACACCCGTTTTCAGCATGGTACCGATGCTCGGACCCTTTAAGCCTGCAGCGTTTCTGCCATCTGTGACGGAAGAAGACAGAGCCATTCTGAACAACGTCCAGAAAGTAGTCGAGTTCCTTACCGCGAGAAACTCCGTATCGAACAATCCCGATCAGGTCAGGCCCACGAGACACGCCTTCTCGCCCTGTCTTTTTTATGTATTCGTTACCGAGATTATCTCTGTACTGATTCCGACATTGCCTATGAAAAAAACAGGTAGTAGATGTTTCTCAGGTTGTTAGGGAACTGCTTCCTGCATTGCCTGGAATCTCGACCAAAGTGTTGCCCGATGTCCTGACCCGGCTAACCTCACGTGTGTTGGCTAGAATCGTTAGGGATGCGTTTTTGTGAAATTTGTTTATATATCACTTTGTATACATACAACCAGATAAAATAGCGTATAATATATAGCTAGCTTAACCCCTTACATTGTAATAATAACGAAGATGGTCTGAATGCATTTGATTCGAAACTGGATCCTGTCCAGTGTTCAGAGTCCTTCATCCCACTAAACAAATTCATATTTTAACCAGATTGTAGAATCACAAAATCATGAAACAAGAACGGGAACGTGGCCTGGTAATACAACACTGACATCATGAAATAGTTCTTACCTGTTTTCCCTCGTGACTTTCTCAGCAACAAAGAGATTGTTCATGCACGAGATTCTTTTCTTTTCATTGTTCTGTTAATTATGTCCCAACACTCTTCTTCGTCTGTAATTAGTAAAAGAGCAGAAGGAGGGATTCTTGTTGTGATCAGACAACATGAGTGAGAAATGTGACAGCGTGAAAGAAAAGGAAAAAGAGGTGCTTGTAAAGAGTCAGATTCCAGTTTTGGTTACATAAACTGAAATTAGGCAAGAAATCGAACGAGGGTTGCAGAGATGCTGAAGAAGAAGAAGATGCATGCCCTACACAGAAATTCCACGTTTCACTTCAACATCTTCACTTCACTCATCGGTCACACATCCCTCTGAAGCTGATTTCACGTTCTTAATGTACTGTTTAAGTATCATCATCATCAACAACAACAAACGAGTTAGTTCTTGAGTAGAATCATCAGATTACAGACGAAAACATAAGCTTAGCCGTGTTTTTTTAGCTGAGAGCTGTTTTGGTACCTTGTATAGGACTCCACGGTTAACCTTATACTGGGGAGGTGTCCACTTCTTTCTACGATCGTTCATTTCCTCCTTCGAGACCTGTGTGTCTATTCTCCTCTTTCCTATGTCAATGGTGATGATGTCTCCATTCTGTATCAGACCGATCGGACCACCCTCCTGTAGATATATATGCACAGAAAAAAAAAACAAATAAGCTTCTAGTCTTCTTTCCAAATCCAAAATCATGGGCTTAAAAAGCCGGTGATATTTGGAAAATAGATCCTCGAGATATGCTATTTAGCCATTGGTATTAATGCGCTTCATAGTGACAAAGTTCTATTCTTAAACCATTACTGCACCTATTCTCCATGGCCGAGTTGCCTTGCTCAGTTAAAATATGATGACTAACCCAGTTGCATGTATCATACGCAGATGAGGTATGTTATGCATGTGGCAAAAGAGGGAAATCAATCTTTTCAAAGACATATAATACGGGCAAATGTGGAAGAGAGAGAGAGACCTGTGCTTCAGGGCAAATGTGGCCAACGACAAAGCCGTGTGATCCTCCTGAGAACCTACCGTCAGTCAGAAGAGCAACCTCCTACAGAAGTATCAATTCAAATGCGGAATAAGCCGAGCAAACAATTGATTGCTACTACAATGAGCCTGCATTGTCACTACCCACTTGTTCGAAAGAAAAATGATTCAAAGAAGTTGATTTTACTTGGAATGCAAGAAATGATCGGGCAAAGTAACAGACTCATGAACTTGGTCTTAGTATCATACCTTCCCGAGACCGGCACCCATTATTGCACTTGTTGGTGTCAACATCTCAGGCATGCCTGGACCTCCTTTAGGTCCCTCTCCCCTTATTACAACCACTTTACCCTGAAAGAAGACATAAACTGAGCATATCTAAAAAGAAATGACTCTCCAGATGACGATAATGTCAAAATAACACGAGTGAGTACCTTAAAGCTCATAGGGTCTTCAGTAATAGCAGCAATCATAGATTCCTCTCCTTCGAAGACAAGTGCCGGACCTAAAACAACAGTTTGATGTTTTCGATGTAAAACAAAACTGGTTCCATCCTTCAGTTAAGACAAACCCGGTTGACAAGATTCGACCCTTTCACAAACATGTAATGGAGACAGAAATGTGCACATAATTACCAGAGAAATACAGTCCCTCTTTCCC